ATCCTAGAAATCGGAAAATCAAAACATCGAAAAATTGAAAAATTGGAAAATATAAAATTTATAAAAATCGATAAATCGCAAAATCAAAAAATTGGTCGAAAGTTGTTTTAACAGAACTTTCCTCCCTCTTGATGTAGAATGAAACATAAAAAATAAACACCCTATCAGATTTAGGAATTCGACTCGTTAGCATGGAAATTTGCAATTTAACACTTTTTAAATTTAACAAGTTTTTGCAAGATTAATAGAGGCAAAATCAGTCTTATCTTAGCAAGTACTAGCCCCGCCCACCCACCCCCTGTTTTCTCAAAGGGTATGTTATTTGCCAAAATACAGTAATAAATGTTGTGTTTATATTTACAAAGTAAGACTCCTTCACTTGTAATGTATGAATCCGTGTTGACTTTTCAGGATTTTTCGTTTTGTACTTCTTCGTTTTTTCACTTTTGGTTTTTCAATTTCACAAATTTGCACTTTTTCCATTTTTTGATTCGAAAAAATGAAAAATCGGAAAATTGAAAAACCGAAAAATTGCAAAATGAAAAAGTGGAGAATCGAAAATTGAAAATCGGCGAACCGAAAAAACGAAAAGTTGATACAGAAAACTAAAAACGAGAAATTTAAAAGTCGAAAATATTAATGAATCGAAAAATTGGTTAAAAAAACGCGAAAGAGAAAAATTGGAAAACCCAAAAACTGTAAAATAGAAAAATTGTAGAAATTTTAAGTCGAAAAACTGCAGCATTAAAATATCGAAAAAAATGAAAAATTAAATATCGAGAAATTGAAAACTAAAAAATGGAAATATTAAAAATCGAAAATTTGGAAAAATACAGAAAATAAAACATTGAAAATTGCAGATCGAAAAATTGAACAAATAAAAAATGAAAAATCAGAAATTGAAAAAACGAAAAATTGAAAACTTTTGGAATTGCAAACCAAAAAATTGCAAAATTGATGCATCCAAAAGTTGGAAAATTGAAAAACTGTAAAATATAAAAACGAAAACAAGAAGAGTTGCATGTCGTAGAATTGAAGAAACAAAAAAAAATAAACATTGAAAACTGCAAATCGAAAAATTGAAGAAAGGCATCATTGAAAAAACAAAAAATTATAAAATCGGAACATCAAAAAATTGAAAAATTGTTGAAATAAAGAGAATAAAAAACCGAAACGAAATTTGAAAAATAAAAAAAAAAATCGAAGTTGTTTCGACAGAACTTCCCTCGCTCCTGAAGTAGAATGAAATAAAAAATAAACACCCAATCAGATTTAGGAATTTAACACCTTTTAAATTTTCTTAAAGGATATGCCATTTGCCAAAACAAGTCTTATCTCAACAAGTACTAGCCCCGCCCACCCACCCCCTATTTTCTCAAGGGATATGTGATTTACGAAAATGCTAGTATTTGCTGAGATAAGACGAATTTTGGCAGATGACACAGCCTCTAAGAAAAGAGAGGGTGGGTGGGCGGGGCTAATACTTTCTAAGATAAAACTGATTTTGGCAAATGCCATAACCTCTAAGAAAATTGAGGGCGGGTGGGCGGGGCTAGTCCTTGCTAAGTTAAGACTAATTTGGCAAATGACATATCCTCTGAGAAAAGGGGGGACAAATCTAAAAAATTTGAATTGAAGAGTCAAAAAATCGAAAAATCGGGAAATTGAACAGTCGAAAAATTGAAAAATTTAAATATCGTGAGAAAAATTGGAATGTTGAAATATTATTAAAAATCGCAGAATTGAAAAATTGAAATTCCGAAATATCGAAGAATTGAAAAATCCAGATATTGAAAAATTCCCAAAACTAAATGTTGAAAAATTGAGAAATTTGGAAAACCAAGAAATCAAAAAATCGCAAAATTGAAGAATCGAAAAACTGAAACACTGAAATCTCGAAAAATTGAAAAATCGAACAATTGAAAAATTGGAAGATCTATCAATAGAAAAGCTGAAAAGCTGAAAAATTGAAAATCCAAGAAATCGGAAAATCAAAACATCGAAAAATTGAAAAATTGGAAAATATAAAATTTATAAAAATCGATAAATCGCAAAATCAAAAAATTGGTTGAAAGTTGTTTTAACAGAACTTTCCTCCCTCTTGATGTAGAATGAAACATAAAAAATAAACACCCTATCAGATTTAGGAATTCAACTCGTTAGCATGGAAATTTGCAATTTAACACTTTTTAAATTTAACAAGTTTTTGCAAGATTAATAGAGGCAAAATCAGTCTTATCTTAGCAAGTACTAGCCCCGCCCACCCACCCCCTGTTTTCTCAGAGGATATGTTATTTGCCAAAATAAGTCTTATCTTAGCAAGTATTAGTCCCGCCCACCCGCCCCCTGTTTTCTCATAAGATATGTTATTTGCCAAAATAAGTGTTATCTTTGCAAGTACTAGCCCCGCCCACCCGCCCCCTATTTTTTCAGAGGATATGTGATATGCCAAAATGCTAGTATTTGCTAAGATAAGACTGATTTTGGCAAATAACGTATCCTCTGAGAAAATAGGGGGCAAATCTAAAAAATATTAATTGAGAAGTCAAAAAATCGCAAAATCGGGAAATTAAACAGTCGAAAAATTGAAAAATTTAATATCGAGAGAAAAATTGGAACGTTGGAATATTAGTAAAAATCGAAGAATTGAAAAATGGAAAAGCCGAAATATCGAAGAATTGAAAAATCCAGATATTGAAATATCCCCAAAACTAAATGTTGAAAAATTGAGAAATTGATATTTCAACGGTTAATTTTGGAAAAACTGTTGGAGTTCACATTTGAATAACTTGTCTAAAAATCCACAAAAAGTTCGGAAATATATAGATCTCGATGTGCTGATTCCCCAAAAAAATTGTGTGTTTTTGTTCATCGGGCAATATTTTCGAAATCTTCCATTTTAAAGTCAATTTTTTTTAAAATGCCAAGATTTCGATATTTCAACGGTTAATTCTGGAAAAACTGTTGGGGTTATCAAAGAATCGAGGTCGGAAGTAAGTTCTAGAGCTCGAAATCTACAAGAAAATTGCCAAGATAAAACTGAGTTTGGTAAATGTTATACCCTCTAAGAAAGCAGAGGGCGGGTGGGCGGGGCTAGCCCTTGCTAAGATAAGACTAATTTTGGCAAATGACATATCCTCTGAGAAAATAGAGGGCAAATCTAAAAAATATGGATGCAGTGATAAATCACAAGCAAAAACTCATCATACTGTGCACATTTTGGGTAGAATTTATTCAGCAAAATTTTGAGATGACGTCATCAATTTCTTGGGGAGGGGGGGGGGTATCTATAAGACTTCAAAGTATTCATTTTTGCAATTCTTGATTTATTCAATAAAATAAATTGATTGATTCATTAATTTTTTTGAGTTACCCTGTATAAGCAAATCTAAAAAATATGAATGCATTGAGAAATTACAAGTATAGACTGATCATATTTTGCACATTGTAGATAGGATTTATTCGGCAAAATTTTGAGTGACGTCATCAATTTTTTGATACATTTTGATTAAATGCTACTTTGATTGCAATCAATAACTTCCAAACGTCTCCAAGATTTCAAAGTATTCAGTTTTGCAATTCTTGCTTTAATCAATATAATGTATTGACTCAGTCATTAATTTTTTTGAGACACCCCGTATAATCTAAAAAATATTAATGCAGTGATAATAAAGTATAGAATCATCATATTTTGCATATTTTAGCATTCGGTTTTGCAGTTCCTGATTAAACCAAATTCATTTATTAATCATTAATTTTTTTCAGTCAGCCTGTATAAGCAAATTCAATAAATATGAACGGAATGATAAATCACAAGTATAGACTTATCAAATTTTGTACATTTTAGATTTTTTCGGCAAAATTTTGAGCTAATGTCATCAATTTTTTGGAAGGGATAATCAAATATACTTTGATTAAAAATTTTATAACTTTAAAACATCTGCAAAATTTCAAAGCATTCGGTTTTTTTATATGTAATTATGTTTTTTTTTTCAAAAATCTGTACGGGTAAAAACTCAACACGGAGTCATAAGTACATGTGTAGCGTTTTACTATCCATATAATATTCATAAGTCCAGTTGTTTCGGAGATTATCTGTGTAATAAAATTTCTGACAGATGGCAGACAGACAGACAGACAGACGGAAACGGCAGATCTATTTCTTTGTACTCCAGGGATCATGAAAGATTGAGAAAACAGAAAAATAGAGGGTCGATCGACGGACTCGATTACAATACTTCCTTCGCTTACGCTCGGGAAGTAAACATTGAAAAATCAAAAATTGAAACATCGAAAAGTTAGAAAATTGGAAAAGTGAAACATATAAAAATGAAAACTTGAGGAATTGTGAATCGAAAAATTACAAAAGCTAAGAATTGATGAAAAAAAAAAACGAAAAATTGAAGAAGTGAAACTGAAAAAATTAAAATTAACAAAACAAAAAATGATGAAACCGAAACATAGAAAAATTGAAAAATTTGGAAAATTAAAAAAGTGAAAAATTTAAACTTAAAAACTCGAAAATTGAAGAATTCAAGTTAAAAAAGCTGCGGTTTATACTTTATAGAAATTATAAAAAAAATTGCAAAAGATTTTTATAATTTTTGAAAGGAGCGTGATTTGTTGGGCTGCACTCCAGGGGCGAGGGAAGTTCTGTCGAAATAACCTTGGACTAATTTTTTTTTGCTTTTGTCCTTGTTCGTTCTTATTACTTTAGCAACTTTCAGATCGTCGCCATAATATAAATATTCCACAACGAATAACTAACTTTCAGAACATATTGAAAATAATTCCGTGTTCCGATAATGCATAATTTTCACGTACAATATTTCTAACGTTTTCCTTTACCATGACTTAGATTAAACTTTACTATTATTATATTCTCCAGTTTCTTAAACAAAATCCCTCGTTAAAATTTCCGATACAAACTTCGTAACTTCGTTACGCGACTCAAACCAGAAACACAACACCATCTACAAAATTCTCTTTTCTCTTTCCAGAAACCCAAAATGTCCCATCGTTGACGGAACTAGCGGCGAAATGCGTAGCTTCCCACATTCCCTTCGAACTCGTGGAACACGTGTATCCACCGGTTCCCGAACAACTACAACTTCGTATAGCATTCTGGAGTTTCCCGGATAATGAAGAGGACATTAGATTGTATTCGTGTTTGGCAAATGGAGCTGCTGATGAGTTTACGAGGGGCGAGCACCTCGTCAGGAATAACATGGTCAAGGATCCCTTACAAATTGGTAAGTGGTCGTACTGACACGTTTAGATAAATCGAGACATCGGGGGAAAACAATACAGCTGTTCTTCGTTTTAATTTTTTTTCCTAGCTCAAAATGTTTTGCATTGAAACGATAGTGGAAGAGTCCTTGAGGTACTCCACTTTTTTTTCAATTTTTTTATGGCGGCGACACGTCCGTGTTCCATAATGACTATGATTACGACAAAGACAACGAACCGGAGTCCGAGAAACTCCGGAAAAAAGCCAAGACACCGAGGAATTGTTGTTGCCGTTGAAATGCAATTATTTTGTAATTTAGTTGGCAGTAGCGCACGACAGGTGGGGTATTCGAGAACAATGGACTCGCATACGAACACGTCAGTCCGCAGCTTCGCGTAGGCATTAATTATTTACCCGTAAAGCGGCAACAAGGGGCAAATCGTCCGACTTTAATTATTCGAAACGGAAGAACATAATGTCGTCGCCGTAACCGAGTATCGATCCGGACGCGAAGGCCACGACGAGCCGCTCACGATTTTTTTCGTCCGGAGACACTACACGACCGATCCCGCTCCTGACGTTGAATCAAAACGGACAATTTTTTAAACTGTCTTTGTTGTTTTCAGGTTTTCACCTGTCGGCCAGCGTCCAGCAGAACTACCGCGGCACTCAGTACGTCTCTGTAGCAGTGACCTTCGACCGGCGCCGCATCTCCTCCTGCAACTGCACCTGCGATTCCACAGCTTACTGGTGCTCGCACATCGTCGCCGTCTGCCTCACTCGTATACATTCGGTAGGTTCCCCTAGGTGTGTCGATAACCTCGTCGAGGCTTGTTTACCGCTGGCTTTGTTTACTAACAGAGGCTCGAAACGAGGGCGACGCGGAACCCGGACTGGATAGTTTTCATTTTCGTAATGTAATCTTATCAGCTGGAAGAGCGTTTTATTTACTCGCTGGAAGTATGGTTTTTAAATATGAAACGACGTCTGCATGTAGAGTATACAACACTGGTCATTGAAGGTAGTCGAATGAGGCTCGCCAACTTTTTTTTTTTTGAATATTTAGTTGTTCGTACAAAAAGGGGTATTTAAGGACGGCCGACACAAACAATTCCAGTGGGACTTGTTTTTCGTCCAGGACGACCCTTAAAAACTAAAGCTATTATTTCAGGTCGAACCTCGGGTCTCATTTGTGTCAAAGTGTAGAGTTTTTCCCAACGGAGAAGTGTGACCGCTCAAATACGGAGTGTTCAAACCGTCTGTATATACCGATGCGTTATTAAGGAGTCGATTTTCTTTTTTGCTTCTGCCGATGATTCGAAAACAAATTAGCTCGAGTGGAGTTAGTAAATTATGCAAGAGAAAAACGCTAATGTTGTTTGTCTAATGGTTATTTCGAGCATTAAATCGTCGTGGAAACAATCGTCGTAATTATTTTTATTATTTTTGGGAATGTGGAAAGTCATTAGAGGGTAACGAGTGGATGTTTGCTCGAATTCCAACTAGTTCTCCGGAGTCGTACGGAGCGCACTAATTTCGCGGACGATTTAAGCGATTAACGCCCAAAAAGGTTTTTCACGCTGCATCGATTTTCGTCGAGAGCTAATAATAAACTGTTTATTATTTCAATTCGCATTTGCATATATTTCAATAATTCCGAATTAATCGTCGACGTTAAAAAATGGAAAAGCTTTAAAATGAGAGTATTATTCTAATTCCTCGTAAAAATAGACGCGAATGTTAATCTTTATCTCAACAAACAATAAAACTTTTATTTTGCATAAATAGTTATTTTAATTTGAACAGAAATACCGCGGCGAGCGATAAAAAATTCCCCGCATAAAATTCCACTCTTTCGAATTCGTCGTCGAAAAGACGAATTTTAATCAAACCGCGCTAGCATAAATCAAAAACACTTTCTGCGTGTAACTGTCCGTACGTATCACAATACGAAGGTGTCTGGTTTATGGCTGGCGCACAAAAAGCACCTAATAAATATGCAACGAGCGGTCAAGAGCTTCAACTTGAACTTTAACCGGAAAACACCGTTATTAAATGTTAAATCGGACACAATTACCGTTTATGAGCCGCGTTTGTGTTCCCAGAGACGCATTTTTTTTAATCATTATTTTTTCTGTGACGCGGTTTGTGGTTTCAGCCCCATTTGGTGACCCTCAGGGCCCCGGTGTCGGAATCGCTGTCGCGCCTCCACAGGGAGCAGCTCCAGAAGTTCGCACAATACCTCATCAGCGAGCTGCCGCAGCAAATCCTACCGACCGCTCAACGACTACTCGACGAACTGTTAGGATCTCAACCGTCAGCAATAAACTCCGTTTGCGGGGCCCCCGACCCGACCGCAGGAGCCTCGGCCAACGACCAGACCTCCTGGTACCTCGACGAGAAGGCCCTCCATGACAACATCAAGAAAATCCTGATCAAGTTCTGCGTCCCGGCGCCCATCGTGTTCAGGTAGAAACCACCACCCTCGCCCCCTTTTCCGTCTCTCACTCTTGTCTCCGCAGCGACGTCAACTATTTGAGCACCGTCGCGCCGCCCGCCGCCGCCGAGTGGACGTCTCTATTGCGGCCGCTCCGTGGCCGCGAGCCCGAGGGCATGTGGAACCTCCTCAGCATCGTCCGCGAGATGTTCAAGCGCAACGACCGCAACGCCGTCCCCTTGCTCGAAATCATCACCGAGGAGTGCATGGCCTGCGAGCAGATTCTCATCTGGTGGTTCAACACGAAGGTGGCTCTTCTCAGCGGCAACTCAGGCTACGGGGGCGGCGGCGGCGGCAAGCATAACAACGTCAACAGCAACACGCACGCCTCGCAGCACGCGTGCTCGTCATTGTGCGACGAGGTGGTGGTGCTGTGGCGGCTGGCGGCCCTCAATCCGGGGTTGGCGCCGCAGGAGCGCGACATGCTGCATAGCCAGTTCACGACGTGGCACATGAAGATCCTGGAGAAGGTGAGCAAGTGCAGGAACTCGAGCCAGAGCAACTCGAACAAGACGGGCACGCTGAAGATGGACTTGGAGGTGTTCACGGGCTTCAAGCCGGCGATCGAGGCGTGCTATCTCGACTGGGACGACTACCCGATGCCGGGGATCACGTACACGCAGGACATCAACCCCATGTATCATTGTCCGTTCACGTGCTTCAGGCACGGCGCCGACAACCGAGGAGAGTCGGCGGTCACCCAGGTCAACTCGAGCAAGGCGGTGCTGAACTGCGAGCACCCGCACCACTCGCACCACCACCATCACCACCACTACCACCACCACAGCAGGGTGACGCGTTTCGACTTCGTCTCGGTGATGAGCCTCAACCCGACCGAGTACCCGCCGCACCCGCAGCTCAACCGCGACGGCAACAGGTCGAGCGTGAGCAGCGAAGGTGAGCACCGGGTCTCTTAAACCACACTCTAGAGTTTGACTTTTCTCGCATTGTAGGTTTCTGCGAGAACGACGACGACCTGCGCCGCGACGGCGACACCGACTCCCAGGAGGGCGGCGGCAGCGATTCGTCGTCGTCGGCGAGCAGCAACAAAAATTCAGGGAACAGTGACATCAGTGATAGCAAGAATTACCAAAAACCCGAATCCGTGCCATCGACGTCGCAGAACAGCGTCTGGATCGAACCGGTAGTGACGAACTCGCGGCGCCCCTCCAAGGACGAGTCGACGTCCTCGTCGAATTCGGAGTCCCCGCAGTCCGGGGACGAGTACAACGTGTATTTTTACAACCCCAAGGAAGCCAACACCGTCTTCGAGACGGTGACCAACCCCGGCCAGAAAGAGAAAGTCGAGGAGACCGAGAGCAAGTCGATGTTCGCGAGCGTGCGCAAGTGCGACGACCCGTGGGACGTGCTATTCGCGCGCGCCGAGGGTCTCCACGCGCACGGCCACAGCAAGGAAGCGTGCATCTTGGGGGTGAAGCTGGCGGAGGAGCTCCTCGCCAACCCGCCCGACCTCATGATCGAAATCCCGCCGATACCCAAGCGCAAGGGCAAGAAGCAGCAGGTGAACCCGGCGTCGCACCAGCTGAGTTGTTTGGCGTCGGGGACGCTCGCCAAGTGCGCGTTCCTGTGCTCGGTGCTCGCCGAGAACCCCGAGCACCACCATCTGGCCTTCCGCGTCGGCATGTTCGGATTAGAGATGGCGCGACCGCCGGCGTCAACGAAGCCGCTGGAAGTGAAGCTCGCCAACCAGGAGTCCGATTTGGTCAACCTGCTGAAACGGATCCCGTTGGGTCACAGGGAGCTGCAGATTTTACGCGAGCGCGCCGAGCACCTGAAGGAAGGCACGATCAAGTCGAGGGGCGAGGCCATGCTGCCGACGATGCTGGCGAGCTTCATCTTCGACGCGCTGGTGATCCCGAGTGTTGTCGGTAGGGACAGGAACAAGCTCGTGAATTTGAGGCTGCCGACGGACGAGCCGCTGGGGTTCGAGGCGGCGGTGGCGGCGCTAGGAATGAAGGCGAACGTCTCGGAGGCTGACCATCCGCTCCTGTGCGAGGGGACGAGACGGCAGAAGGGCGACCTGGCCATCACGCTGCTGACGTTCTACAAAGACGACTGCTGGAAGGTGGCGCGGATCATGGACCGGCTGCTGGATCGAGAGATACACCAGCTGCTGAAGTCGCCGCTGCTCAGCTCGTATTATTCGAGCAATCCGCCGGTGAAGAGTCAGTACAACCGGGTGGGGCAGAGGGAGGAGTGCGACAAGGTGATGACTCCGTTGAGTCCGTTCGTGCCGCCGCCGGAGATGCTCCCCACGGATATCAGTAAGTAAATTGGCGCATTTCTGTTCAAAGATTTTATTGGCTTTAATTAGGAGAATGTGTCGACGGACACGCGAACTAATTGATTTTTTTTTGTGTACGTGTCATGTTCGAGAATAGTTCTGAAACGAGGTCATAAATCGTTTTATGCTTCCGCAGATTGCTGCAGCCGTCCCCATAGTTCCACGAGCGCCGAAGTCGAGCAGGGCCTGGGCAACATGAACCTGGGGAACGGCGCCAACGCGTCGGGTCCGTCGCAGGGCTCGAGCGTCCAGATCACCCGCACCAAAGAGTCGCGCTACAAAGGAAAAAGGGCCTATCCCTCCATCCCGAACCAGCCTTCGGAAGCCGGGGCTCATTTCATGTTCGAACTGGCGAAGATCGTGCTGAACAAAGCCGGAGGTTCGAGCAGCACCTCCTTGTTCACGCAGCCGTCGACCAGCCAGAACCACCACGGACCTCACAGGGCCTTGCACATGTGCGCCTTCCAGATCGGCTTGTACGCTCTGGGGCTGCACAATTGCGTCAGTCCGAACTGGTTGAGTCGCACGTATTCGTCACACGTCTCCTGGATCACCGGTAAGCGAAAATCCGAACTCGTCGGTGACGCTAATGTCGATTTCTAGGGCAAGCTATGGAGATCGGCGCCGCCGCCATATCGTTTCTCATCGATACGTGGGAGGGCCACCTAACGCCGCCCGAGGCGGCCAGCATCGCCGACCGGGCGTCCCGCGGTTGCGACCCCAACATGGTCCGAGCCGCCGCCGAGCTGGCGCTCTCGTGCCTACCTCACGCTCACGCGCTCAACCCCAACGAGATCCAGCGCGCCATCCTTCAGTGCAAGGAGCAGAGCGACGACATGCTCGAGCACGCGTGCCTCACCGTGGAGACGGCCGCCAAAGGCGGCGGCGTGTACCCGGAGGTCCTCTTCCAGGTGGCCAAGTACTGGTACGAACTGTACATCCATCACACGCCCGGCGGCGAGCAGATGATGGAGAACGAGATGCCGCACGACCCCCTGTTGGACGCGCACGGCGCCCTCGTCGCCCTCATCGAGCCCGGGCCCGAGGTGCAGCTGCCGCCCCCCAGCGCGCCCGTCATCGCGACGAGCAGCCCGGTGGTGGTGACCACAGCGCCGCCGCCGCCCTACCCGCAGCACCCGGCTGCCACCACGCTCGCGCCGCTCGGCATCGCCGTGCCCTACGCCGTCGGCCACTACAACTTCCTGCACCACCCGCACCAGATCAGTTACGGGGGCCCTATACACCCTCAAGCTGTCCCCCTGCACCAACCGCCTCCCGCGCACATGCAGATGTACCAGTTCCAGTACCCGCCACCGGCGGCCGGCGGCCAGCAGTTCACGCCGCAGCAGCCGGCCGGCTACCCGAACGTGCCGGCGCCGCAGCAGGGCGCGTTCGCGAACGCGCCGCCTCCGGCGCAGTACCCGTTGCCGGCGGCGGCGCTCAACCAGCCGCCGTACGCGGCGATCGCGCCCAACCCCCCCAACCAGATGCAGCCGATCCGTTATTACGGCGCCGGTTGCGCCGTCTCGCAGCCGGTGCCGAGCATGCGCTCGACGCCGGTGCCGGCGGGGCACCTCTACTCGCTGCCGCTCCAGACGAGCGGCGCGCCGCCCCCGCCTGGGATCGTGCCGCAGCAAGCGCCGCCGCCGAGACCGCAGCACCGACAGCCGCAGCAGTTCAACCAGGCGCAGTTGCGGTACTTGCTGACGGCCTACCGCGTGGGGATGCTGGCGATGGAGACGCTGGCGAGGCGCGTGCACGACGACCGGCCGCAGGCGAAGTACGCGAGGAACCCGCCCTACGGGGAGGACGTCAAGTGGCTGCTGAGGATATCGAAGCATCTAGGTAGGAGCAAATAATAGTTAGGAGAAAACTAGTACCATTGTTTAAGTATATTATAGTTGGACAATGTATACGGAGAATCGCTTTCCCATGTAGAAAAGAATGAACATATATTTTACATCTCACTCGCTTCACTATGAAGTGGCGGTACCTTACGAAAGGGGGTAAAAATAGTCTGTAAGCACGTGATGTCGATAAGGTAGTAAACGGACGTATTAGTCAGTACGTTGTACGGGGACCAGTCACAAAATAAGCAAACCTGCGTGTTGAAGACTTTACATATATGTAATATATTTATATATAGTGCATACCTGTTTCATGTGTGTGGTAGCACGTATATTTGCACAAAAACAAATAAAAATTAAGGTAACAAAAATTTAATATTATCACGGTATATTATCCATGAACTGCATGACTAACAAATATGCGTCCCTTTGGCCACTTTAAAGGCACGGAATTAAACGAGCACTACTTTAATTAATAAGTAACAAGTTATCTAATTTGCCTCCAGAATAACTATGGGTTATCATCAAACTATGAACACCAAATTAATTCAATATGAACATCTTCTTACGTATTTTTTTATTAACAGTAGTCAAATCATTAAATACATATTATTTTTTAAACTAAAATGCATTTTATCACAAAATATTTACCACCATTTAAATATATACGATTTAGACATCAAGAAATAAATTTAAAATCGCAAAAATTAAATGTAGCAGACTTAAAACAGCCTTAAATGCGTCTTGTATGTACGTGCTTATCAGTATGTAGGCATTTTAACGCACAGTAATAATTGTTCTTGATGAACGATGACTACTGTAACAGTAAATCCTCGAAATCGAAAATTTAAAACACTGAAAAATTCAAATATGGGAAAATTGTAAAATCGAGAAATCGAAACATAAAAAAATTGGAAAATCTATAATTTAAAAATCGAAAAACTCAAAAATTAAGAATCGAGAAGTCGAAAATTTAAAAAATTGGAAAATTGAAAAATCGGATAAATCAAAAATCGAAATATCGAAAACTCGAGAAACTGAAAAGCAAAAAATCGAAAAACCAACAAATGGAAAAATCGAAATATCGTAAAATTCAAAAACTGAGACATCGAGAAATCGAAAAATCAAAAGACAAAAAAAATCGGAGTCGAAAAATCGAAAAATTGAGAAACCGAAATAGGCCAAAATCGAAAAATCGAAAACTGAAATATGGAAATATTGATAAAGCGAGAGATTGAACATTCAAAACATCGAAACATCCGAATCTTAATAAATCGAGATCTTAAAAAATTTAAAAATTCGGAAAATTGAAAAATTAAATTATAGAACTGGAAACTCTAGAAATCGAAAAACCTAGAAATTTAAAAGTTGAAAAATTAAAATATGGAAAAGTTGAAAAATTGAGAAATTGAAATACAAAACAATCGAAAAATTGAAAAATGTAAAGTATGTATAAAAAACGAAAAACTGAATATCCAAAAATAAAAAATCGAAAAATCTAGAAGTCTAAAAATCAAAGAATCGATATATTGAAAAACATCAAAACTGAAAGAAATAACCAAAAATTGAGAAATCGAAAAACCAATAAAGCGAAGTCGAAAAATCGAAGAATTGAAGAACTGAAAAATCGAAACTTTGGAAAGTGGGAAAAACAAAAATAGATTATTTGAGAAATAAGAAAACTGAAAATTTAACGTCAAAATTTGAAAAATTTAAATACTGAAGAACTGAAAAGTTAAAAAATCGAGAAATCGTGAAATCGAAAAATCTAAAATTTAAAACATTGAACAATTAAAATATCGCAAAATTGAAGAATCCAGAAATCCAACTCAATTTAAAAAATTGAAAAATTGAAAAATCGGAACATTGGAAAATCCAGAAATTGAAAAGCCCAAAATTAACAAATCGAAAAACCGAGAAATCCAAAAATCGAAATATCGAAAAATTCAAAAACTGAGACATCGAGAAATCGAAAAATTGGAGGATTGAGAAATTGATGAGTCGGAAGTTGAAAAGGAAAGTTAAAAATTGAAAAAGTGATAATTTGAGACATTGAACGATCGAAAAATTGTAAAAAAGAAAAACTGGAAAGTCGAAAATTAAAATTAGAAAGTTGGAAAAATTGAAATATCGAAGAATTGAAAAATCTAAAGTTTAACAATAAATTAAAAATCCAAAAAGTAAAAAATCGAGAAAAAAAAATCCATCAATTCAAAAATCGAAAAGTCGAAAAATCAAAATATTGAAAAATCTCATAACTGAAAGAAATATTCAAAAATTGAGAAATTAAAAAATTGGAAAATTGAGAAATCAAAAATCTAAAACAGCAGTCGAAAAATCGTAAGCTTAAAAAGTCGAAAAATTGAAGAATTGAAAATCTTTAGGAAGTCCAGAAATCGAAAAATAAAAAAAAAATACTTAAAATAGAAATCGGAAAACTGAAAATTTAGAAACCTGAAAATTTGAAAAATTGAAAAATCGTAAAATTGATGAGGACAAAAATTGAGAAATCGTATCATTGAAACATCGAAAAATTGGGAAATCGAAAAATAAAAAAATCGAGAAACGGAAAATTTGAAGAATGGAAGAATTGGAAAAGCCCAAAATTGAAATATTGAAAAATTGAGACATTTAAAGTTGAAAAATCGAGAAATCGAAAAGCCGAAAAATCTCAATAGCGTATTTATAAATCACAAGATCAGGACTATGGTACTTTTTAAAATTTAAATAACATTATAAATTGGAAAATGTTGATTTTTTTCCCAAAAATCTTGACGTCTGGGGTGAAAACTCAACACGGATGCATAAATCGTAAACGGAGGATATACTATTGTAAAATTTAAAGATTGCGTCATTTCATTGTTGGTGACAAATTTTGGTGAGTGTTTTACCATTTGATAACACAATTTGAAATGTAAATTTTGTAATTCGAGAACATTATGTATTAAATCGTTAAGATGTTCAAGAACTTTGTTCACTTATTCGTTGTAAAGTCCAATGGTCGAAACGGGTTAGTTCTTCGTAGTGGATGTGTATCAGATCAAATCTTACGAATATCGGCTTATAGATAAATCGCTTAGAGTCGATATTGGCCTGAGTGTGCCTTGGTCTGTAGATCAAACAAGTTCTCAGACGACGAAAAATTTGTCCCACGCCCCCTGGATTCCTTGTCTCAAAGCTCACTATTTAGGCGAAGTAAAATTTGTATTAGGTTGTCCAACTATAATATACTTCAACAATGCTAATACTTATTCTACAAATGAAATTTTCTAAAAATTGTGACTCGTTGGGTTTCAGGAACGCAGTACCTGCACCATTTTTGCGTGTGCGCCGTCAACTCCATCGTGAGTCCGTTCGTGCTGCACGACGTCGCCATCGAGGCGGCTCATTACCTGTCGCGGAACAACCCGACGATGGTGATGCAGCACCTGAGGACGGCGCTGACGCCGCTGGTGCAAAAGTGCCAGCAGATGTACATACAATGCATGCACCAGAAGCTGTACCACCTGACGTCGGCCGACTATGAGGACTTCGTGAGCATCGTCTGCGCCGCGAGGGCGGCGTTCCAGATAACGCCGGAGGGGAGTACGCAGTTCAAGGAGTGGCTTCAGTCTATCAGAAGGTGGGTCGTCGAAAATCGAGGTTCCGTCTTTGACTTGGCTCGTGTTTCAGGTCCAAATCGTGCAAGAAGGATCTGTGGTCGCAGATAAACACGGCACTTCAGGCGAACAGCAAATGACAAAGGTCAGACTTAGGCCCCCAAAGTAGTTCTAGTTTCCACCGTATCCAAGATGGCGTCCAGGAAGAGACGGATCAACTCCTGCACTTCTGCACGTACCCCGCAGCCGTTGTCAGCACAGGGCTTCCAGCAGATCTAAACCGGTTGTATTGTACAGTGGACGTTTTCCAAAATTCTCACGTCAACGAACAACAACAATTCGAGCAGAACCTGTGGTCTCGATCGTCAAACACTCCGGACATTAGTTGATTTTTTTAAGATGTGATCATGTGAATAAAAGCAATTTCTCAGTGTTCTGTCACAAACTGAAGTGCTCAGGTTTCTTACCATCTCTGCCTTCATCAAAACTTTCTAGTAAAATTGCGTAATTAAATAGGTAATTTTTTAAAGAAGCGTTATATCATGATTGTGTACATTTTTTACTTTGTCGTCGACTATTTTCAATTTTTTTTCTAAACGCTGATACAGTTCTAGGTTAGGTTTCCATTTAATTTCAATAATCATTATTTTAATCGACTTTTTTTTCTACGTTTAAGAGTAAGCTAAGGTAGGGTATAAGTGTTTTACAAATGTGTTGTTTGAACGAATCGAATGTTTCCGTTTTTGTATTGCGTTCGCGCCCAGAAATTTATGCTTGTGTTCAATCTTGTTTTAGTTATGTTTGATTCTACAATTCATGAGATAGTCCGCTTGCATCGTCTCAATTTTCGATTATGGATTTTTCGTTCGATTTTCCCCCATCACACACATAAATATCGGTTGTGAAATTTTATAAACGAAACCTTGTGAATAGATCTAGTAAAGCAAATTTTATATCGTAGCGAATCATCAAATCTGTCTGCCCGATTTTATATAATACACAACCTGTCAAACTCGATACGTCCTCACGTAAATTCGGTGAGCGCGCAATTCCCGACGCCGATTTTGTATCTCGTGTATGGATAAAATATTACCAACTCAGGCAATGTATCATAGTGAATTTATACAAAAATATTTTATCATATGGAAGAACAAAAAACGGGAATTGCGCGCGAGACACATTTCATGAATTGTTTAATTCCGCGCGTAGTAACATGATCGCTCGTTTTGTACATTGATCTCACTTTGTTGCCGCATGTTCGTGCACAGTTCGCACACAACGATCGCGGGCTCGGGGGCAGGCGCTGCGACGCGCAGTTGCGTCGCGGCGCGCTTCTTCCCCGCCCGAAAGACCTTATCAGAAATGACCTGTGCCTTGGAATTTTCTATTATTGCAGTAAACTAATCAAAATTTCTGTTATGAGTTTCGAAAAGAAAGAACTGTGCAGGGATTTCGGGCGTTTTGGTCTCGGCGGAGGCCGGGAGGGTCGCGAGGTCGAGCGACCCTCTCGACCGCCACACTCTCGTTTTAAGGAGTTAATTTTAAGACATAGGTATTGTAGGTTTCTTTTTTGTTTTTTTTTTCCTTTTCATATACATTACACTAATGTGTAGCGCTATTGGTTTAGAGTAGTTAAGTACGTGTAACGTAAAGTCAACTGATTTTATCGAAATATGATTTACTACACGAAATTCTGGTTTGTCTGTGTATCGTCGAAATTGTATAAATTCAGTAGCAACTTGGATGTACGTCATATTTCTTTAATTCTATTCACAAGAGAGAAATAAGGGCTGATTTATAAAGTATGTATAAATAGCAAATGCCGTAATCGAAAAATTTGATGTATAAGACACGTTTATTATTTTAACAGTCCCGCGCTACTAACTTATGCTATTTTATATCCTTAAAACTTGCTCAGACCTCTCTTTTCGGTTTGCTCTCCGACATATCAGCGTTTTTAAGGATATAAGCATTCGATTTATTGGTGTAATACTTATTGAACAGTGCCTGACTATACATTGCATGAATGGAAGTTCTCATTCGACTACCGCAGCTCCGAACGAGCGCCCAGTCGTTAGATTCAAGCGAAGTTTCTACTTTCTTTGTCGCAAAAGAGCTTATGTACATAGACGTCACCTGATAGCACCGTTACTCGATTGTTTGATCCGCCCACGACCGACTCTCGCTTGTTTTCGAGGAGCCAAACGACGCACTTTTTTTGTTCTCGTAGAAGCGTAGTACACGTTCGTATATCTCAATGGAAATTGTTTCGTTCTTATCGGCGTCGTTTTGCTCCTTTGTCGTTTTTTTCCAGTTGTGTCTCTTGTGACAATTCTTGAATCTAATCCTCAAATATCAAACGCGCGCGGCGCCCGGGGCCCGCGCTCGGTTTCGGGGACGGAGGCGCCGGGGCGGCGCCAGTGCTCACACGTTTTGGATTCTGTAAATACGTCATTTCATAACTCGATGGTTGTTAAGGCATCAAAAACTTTGGATGTTTCTGTCCGTTTTTTTCACGAGATTGAGCATTTTGTTAATCGGCACAAAGTTTTATGTAAACTAGGAGAAAAATATACGAAGATATATTTGTAGTCATTTTTCGATATTATCTAACCCGCATCATGTTAGTGTAAGTGTGACAGAAATATATTGAGTGTATTTAAATTAATCGTAACATATTTTTACACAACTATTTATGTATAAAAAATTATGGTATGCTACACGTAGGTTATATAATTCGTGTCTTACAGAAAAAATATTATTTCATGTACAGATTTATTGATTCCATATTGTAATGGCCAACTTGCTGTAAAGTTTCTTTATCTGTGCAAGTGAGTTAATAAAATTTTAAATTTAGTGCCACAGTTTGTGTACGCTGACCCGGGACGCGTCCGGCTCGAAGGACCACGATTTTTAAATGGCGCCTCAGACTTTGCCCATAATGTACCTCATAAAAACGTCGTTTAAAGTCACTTAAGTACGCACTTGTGTACTTCCCTATCTGAACCTCTTAGCGTAATTGAATTTCGTTTGTTTGAGCAATGATCTCATCTATTGTTAAACCGCCAATTAATAATAATAACGTCCTGACGTCAAGACTTGCTTAAAATTGTGAAACGAAAACACGCCTTTGCGCAACTCGATTTTTCGAAAACCCTCAAAAAATAGATTATTGATCGTTGATCTTCCATGCGATATCAGCGTGATGGACCCAGAGGTCAATCGATAGTTGAATAATCCCGTTACGAAACGCCTGTTTCTAGGACGTTTTGATACCTTTTTTCGTACTTTCTGCGTCGTATTCTTCGAGATCACAGGTCAGATCGGTTTAAAATTCGAAGCGCAGGCATTTCGTAACGGTCTTGGGTGGTTCGGATTTGGAACTAGAATCAGCCAGTTCGGGCCTTATCGCTACCGATGTTATGTTAATGTGTTTATAAATATTGTTTTTAGATAGTGCGCCTAGAGACATTGCTGTTTTCACAAATAGTGGAAGTTTTGCTGGTATCTATTTGGGTTCGAAAAATGACTCCATTATCGTTTCTATAATTAGTCGAATTTTTCTCTTATCTAGGTTTAATAGTGTCGTTGGCAATGGTCTTATCTGGTTTGCTTGCACGTGCTCACGCGACGAAGCAACACGTGCTGATAAGAATACTACTGTGTGCACTTTTACTTTTTATTTGTGTGCATTAAACAAACGAGAAATTGAGGACAAAGAAAAATTCGGTTTTTTATTCCGGCTGGGTTTTTTTTATTTTTGATAAGGTGGAGAAAAATCGTAGCACAACTAACACAGTGTCGTGACCTATATCAGTCGCCACGAATTTTATTTGATAAGAATAGAGTGCATCTGTATTTCAAAATGTTTTCAGAGCTGTGAAAATTGAGAAATTCTTAAGTAATCCTTACGCCACTTAGAACTATCACGACTATCTTTCTTTTTACTCAAAATCATTTAGGATCTTTGGAAAAACGCTCAGTATTTTCAGACATTTTAAATTGATTGTTTGCAAATTTTGCTTCTTAAAAATTTCGTTTCTCGTTTCTAAACTGTAAAACTAAACATGGAGTTTTTTTAACCAAAATGTTCGCAAATTTGTACTGAAATTTGACTTCCCTGTTTCACTTTTTTTTAATTTTTGAGACTTTCGAGTTGACTTTTTACTTTAGACAATTTTGTGTTGACGTCATGAACATTTTTTCAAGGACACGTACCTATGTCAACTTGGATTGGTGCAGTGTAATACTAAAAATAACATAATTGTATTTCCAAAATTTTATTGAGTCATTCGGTAATTTTTTGGAGCCGCCTTTTTAAGCAAATCGAAAAAATATGAACGCAGTAATAAATCACAAGTAAAAAATTCATCATATTTTGCACATTTTGGGTTGAATTTATTCGGCAAAATTTTGAGATGACGTCATCAATTTTTTGGGGGGAACAAACAGATAGATTTTGATTAACAATTTACCATGCTTACAATAACTTTAAAACGTCGGCAAGATTTCGAAGTATTCAATTGTGCAACTCTTGATTTAATCAATAAAATAAATTGATTCATTAGTCATTAATTTTTTTGAATCACCCTAATAAAAAATTGATCGAAGGCTGTAACTATAATCAGGCAAATCTAGCTCTTTAAAAAAAATGATAAAATTTGGTTTTAAGATTCTTTTTTTGTGATAACCGCTGTTAAGTAAAAACCAGAGGCATAAATAACACCCCTTGTCCTTCAGCAGTAGTTACTAACAATGTGAAACTCAACTATTTATTTCTGTTGGATTTGAATGAGATTTTCTTTTCAGAATAGGACTAAAATTATTATTAATTAAACTACAATCGACCAAAATGTTCTGAATATTATAATTCTTATTTTATCATTATTATACCGGGTATCTGGAAAACGGCGGATGAAAAATTCATCACATTGGAGATCGGGTGGGTGGGAGGTGCTTATATTTTTGTAGGAAAATCTTAATTTTGCAATTACGCTCCGCCCCTCGGTCTGACAGCGAATGAAAAATTCATCACAATGGAGATCGGGCGGGTGGGCGGGGCTTATATTTTTGTAGGAAAGTCTGAATTTTGCAGTTACGCTCTGCCCCTCATTCTGACAACAAATGAAAAATTCATCACAATGGAGATCGGGTGGGTGGGCGGGGCTTATATTTTGCCCTTTTTTTACTTCTCGAGCTTAAGCAAAGGAAGTGTTGTAATCGAGTCCGTCGGCCGACTCTCTACTTTTACGTTTTCTCAATCTTTCATGACCCCTAGAGTACGAAATACTAGATTTTTATTAGACAGATAATCTCCGAAAGTACTGGGCCGATTGTTGTCAAATTTTGTATTTATATTAAGAATCTCATGTCAATAATGTGATGACGTCACTTCAAAATTGTACATAGTAAATGGGTTTTAAATAGTATAAAATAACATAGTCCTACACACGTAGTTTATGACTCGGCCCACTATTTTCTCAGAGTTTATGTCATTTACCAAAATAAGTTTTCCAATTGCAAGTACATACTAGCCCCGCCCACCCGCCTTCTACTTTCCCAGAGGGTATGACGTCTGCCAAAATCAGTCTTATCTGAGCAAGTGCTAGCCCCGCCCACCCGCCCTCTATTCTTTCAGAGTTTATGTCCTTTGCCAAAATAAGTTTTCCCTTTGTAAGTATTATCTCCTCTATTTTCTCATAGGGTATGGCATTTGTCAAAATCAGTCTTATCTTAGCAAGTACTAGCCCCGCCCACCCGCCCTCTATTTTCCCAGAGGGTATGACGTCTGCCAAAATCAGTCTTATCTGAGCAAGTGCTAGCCCCGCCCACCCGCCCTCTATTTTTTCAGAGTTTATGTTGTTTGCCAAAATAAGTTTTACCTTTGCAAGTATTATACCCTCTATTTTCTCAGAGGGTATAGTATTTGGCAAAATCAGTCCTATCTCAGTAAGTACTAGCCCCGCCCACCCGCCCTCTACTTTCTCAGAGGGTATGGCGTTTGCCAAAATCACTTTTATCTTAGCAAGTGCTAGCCCCGCCCACCAGCCCCTATTTTCTCAGAGGATATGTCATTTCCCAAAATAAGACTTATCTTAGCAAGTAATACACTCTGGGAAAATAAAGGGCGGGTGGGCGGGGCTAGTACTCGCTAACATAAGTCTTATTTTGGCAAATGACATATTCTCTGAGAAAATAAGGGGTGGGTGGGCGGGGCTAGTACTTTGGAAGATAAGACTGATTTTGGCAAATGTCATATCCTCTGGGAAAATAGGGGGAGGGTGGGCGGACCTAACATTTGTTAAAAAAAACTGATTTTGGCTGTGTTAATCTTGTAAAAACTTGTGAAATTTAAAAGTGTTAAACTGCAAATTTCCATAGTAACAAGTTAAATTCCTAAATTTACCCAAAATTTGCAAAATATATTGAATTTTTGTGATTTATCATTGCAAATTTTTAGAGATTTTGAAATCTATAAGAAATTTTCTTTATATATACTTTTAGATGTTTTTCTGGAAGCATTTCGAAGTTCTTTTCAGTCAGTTTGAATTTTAGTTGTTTTTTAAAGTGTGCTAAAATTTTCAAAATTTTTTTTTTTGGCGACGTTTCAGTTAAAATATATAGATTTTATAATTCGTTCACAAATTGTCAAAATTTAGACATTTTTGTGGTTTTTGGGATCTTCGACAATTTTCGTCAACAATTTTAGACTTGTGCGAAAATTTTCAAAATTTTTGTGGGTAAAATCTTTATTAAAACATCTAGAACATATATAATCCAGGAGCAAGAGCTTTCCACACATTCATGAATTGTAATAGTGGAAATTTTTCTAGAATCAGCGACAAAACCACTTTGAGTTTCCCTTCCTTTTATCTATAGTTCTCGTACTTTGATAATTGAAACTGAAATGTTACGGATTGTTTCAACACTGGAAGTAGTTCAATATCAAAAAATCGAAAGCTTTCACTTTTAAGGTTCAGGTAAAAAATAATCGACGTTTTGTAATAGCGCATTATTATTACATGCTTGACAGGAGGGGACCGGATGGTGTTTAGCATAGGCCCTCAAATAGTAGTCCGGCCCTGAGCATAATTTGACAAACTACAACCGATTACCCTTCTTAATCAAGTTCTGATTTTTTTTTGTAAATTATTTAAAACAATTTTGGGGAACTTTGGTATTCTCTTTTTGGAAAATTCTAACCTGGCCTGTTTTTAAGTTGATTTTAGGATCCCGTTTTCTCTATTTTTGGAAAATTTAAAACAATTTGAGGTTCTAGGTATTCCTGTTTGGAAAGAATTTGAAAGTGCTTTGGGCTCTAGTGTTTTTTCTTATAATAAATTTAATTAAATTTCTTAGAGCATACGTCATTTGCCAAAATCGGTCTTATTTTAGCAGGTACTAACCCCGCCCACCCGCCCTCTCTTCTCTTAGAGGGTATCCCATCTGCCAAAATCAGTCTTATCTTAACAAGTACCAGCCCCACCCACCCACCCTCCATTTCTTGGAAGGATCTCATTAGCCAAAATCAGTTTTATCTTAGCAGGTACTAACCCCGCCCACCCGCCCTCTATTTTCTTAGAAGGATATCATTAGCCAAAATCAATCTTATCTTAGTACTAGCCCTCTTAAGAAAATAAAGGGCGGATGGGCGGAGCTGGTGATTGTCAAGATAAGACTAATTTTGGCAAATGATTTATTCTCTAAGAAAATAAAGGGCGGGCGGGTGGGGCTAGTACTTGCCAAAATAAAACTGACTTTGGCAAACGGCATACTTTGGAAAAAAATAGGGGTGGGTGGGCGGGGCAAATACTTGCTAAGATAAGACTGATTTTGCCAAATAATATACCCCCTACCCTTCATTTTCTTAAAGGGTGTTATTTGCAAAAATCAGTGTTATTTTAGCAGCTACTAACCCCGCCCACCCACCCTCTCTTTTGTTTTTGTTTATAATTTATAAATGTCTTTTTTTTTTGGTTTATTTATTAATGAAAAATAATAGCTTGTTTTATTTATTTATAATGCACCTCTGGTTGTTATGGTTATTGTCCTAAAGAAGGTAGATTTCAGCCACCATCGTTACTAAGAAATCAGAAAGTGAGGCGGAGGCATTAGGTGCGTGCAGTATTGCCAATTTTACTTTTATAAAATAAGGTTTTTTCGTAATCTATATCATAAAGAATTTATTACTTTTTTGGGACTCCCGAAACATAACGTAAGTTAATCCGCCATTTTTCAGACACCCGGTATAAAGACGTACATATTCTTCACATTTTCGAGAAAATGAGGTGACTCGTTCTTAATTTGACCAATAAAAAATGTGCAATGACGTCAACATGGCTAATTCTAGTCACAACAGAAAAAGTAGTCACAGCGTTATACCAACGTAAGAAAAAAAAGGAAAGGTCCAAGTTGGGAATAAAACGTTATTATACCCTGCAAATATTTTTGTGTAACATTCAAATCATTTTGGACAACCATTCATTGAAATGACGTCATCAAATTGTTGGTGGCGATGATTAGCCAAATTTTGATTACCATCTACATGATATAAGTTTTGAAAAGCAGTTTTGGGCTTTCGAATTTCTGTATTACAAAATTCAGCAATTTTAATTTATTTTCGAAATATTTTAAAACATTTTGTAGATTTGTTGTGAACTTGGTTTGATTATAATCTCTTCAAATGTAAATATTATCGAAGATATTTTTGGTACTAGATTCGAATCAATTTTTTATCGTCGAAATAACAATCAGATTAGAAGTACCTCATGTCAGATATCGATTTTGATAGAGTTTCCAATTCCGTTTTTTTTTAATTTGCATAAAACGTAGTTGATCACACTGTGTTATTTTTGACTATAGGAAATGACTTTCTGAACAGCTGTGTGTAAGTGGCCTGACTGGTAGTTAACCAGCGTGCGTATGTTTAATGCGTATTAAAGAAAAAAGTCAACGTAAATAAGTGTTAGTGATTGTAATTTGTTGAACCAGAACAAAGGTGAAACAATCAGAGTTAATGGAAAAATATTATCTCGCTTTAATTGTTACTATGATGTATATGGTTTAACATCCTAATTGTCATTGTAAATCGCACTTTTGCCACGATTACGATAACCTTAATAATGAAATTTTCTAAAAATAATAAGACATGTTAAGTAAAAAGATTTCGTTGTATAATATTTAACTTAAAAACAATAATAATATTTTAACAATAGAATAAATTTATTCTGTTTATTTCTGGCGCACATTCGACGCATTGTTATCTGTTCTGTCAACACCCCGTATATTTTAAACATTTAGAGTGTCCACAAAAAAGAAAAAAATGAAACCCTTTGTGGTCGGTACATAAAACAATTAACCACGCGTTGTTTATACAGGGTGGTTAAATTTTCGAAGAACAAATTTAAATCAAAAAAATGTTTAAAAAAAAACAGTTTAGTGGATAGTGTTTGTGGCCACCTGTACATACAGTCGTGCGTTTTATCCTGGAAAAATCTGGCGCCTTTTCCGGCGAAATTTTTTCCACGAAAGGCCTCAGCACCTAAGCGTTTTCTTATCACGTGAAAGCTTAAGAGATAAGCCCACGATGTCATAACAATCACCATGGAGTTCACTAATTAACAATTGTGTACGGAATGCGTGCGCAGCGATTACCCATATATAGCCGGAACGCAGCACGTAGACGCAACAGAGCTTCAAAGCTTGTCGACACACAGACTTCAGCAGCTTTCAGCCCTGAAAAACCCCATCATGGAACACATGTCGAAGAAAGACACCATGGCGCTCCGCGAAAAGCACATCGGGTGAGACCCCATTTTTACCATTAATCAATTATTATTGTTAATTGTTAATTTGTTTCGACGGCGGTTTGTGTATCGATTTTGAGTCTCCAGATGATGCGCATCTGGCGGCGATTAATCCGTTCGGAATTTTCTACCGCGGCGGTTTCCGCTGGTGGAAATTTCCGGCCCGAGAGTAAAGAGAAATCTCTGTTGCAGAAAGTCCTGCCAGCTTTTTTTCCGGCAAGACCCGTTGAAAATAACGAGGGCAAAGGCCCAGTATCTGTACGACGAGAAAGGCGACGCGTACTTGGACTGCATCAACAATGTTGCCCACGGTGAGTTTTTTGGAATTTTTGTGGTCACGGCTTGTAATTTCGTCGGAGGATTTAACTCATTCCGAGCCGATTATTATTTGGCTCGAGGTGAGTCACGTTGCGGAATTGATTTCGGAGCGGAGCGGAGATAAGAGGTTATTACTTTGTGTTATCATTTTTGTATTGGAAAAATGCTACGTTGGGTGACTGGGTAATAATTGAGAACGGGTTTTTTTTCGAAATTGAGAAATAAGTACCTCGGGGCAAATTTAACGTAACTATACATGAATAACATTTGATTTAAAAAAACAAACTGCATTTTAGATTAAAATCAAGGTTTTTAGTAAATAGTTTTCATGAAACCTCATATTCCTTATCGATGTATATTACAAATATAAATTTAGCTCGCTCCGCTCGCTAAAAAAAATTTTGAACTCTTTGTAGTGCAAATTTAAACTTAAACTTTGTTCAGTCATTGACTTCGTTGTAAACAGCCGCATTAAGATTATCTTTGATATCAATTGGCGATTGCCAGTATAAGTTGTAAAATTGTCCAAAACGTCAAAATTTCAAGTAGCTCTTTGCTTTATCTATCGTTTCTAAGAACTTGTGACAAGTCTTTTTTTACACTTTATTTTAACAATTTCCTTTCAATGGTATAAAGTTCCTGATTAGTTAAGCTATCGCTCATCTTAAACTTCAAATTTTGACAGAATTTAGATAAAATAAAAACGAAATTTTTTAATTTTACTTTTTTTTTTGTTTTTTCAGTTTCTCGATTTGCAAGTTTTTGAGTTTTCAATTTGTGATTTTTTAATTTTTTGATTTCCAATTTTTTCGTTTCGGTTGATTTTCTTTATTTTTTCAACTATTCAATTTTTCTCAATTTTAGAATTTTTTAAATCTTAATTTTTTCAGTTTTTCGTTTCTTCAGTTTTTCCGTTATTCATTTTTTATTTCTTCAATTTCTATCAGTTTTTTAATTTTCAATTGGAAATTTTTACAGTTTTTGATTCTATAATTTTTCGATTTTACAATATTTGGGTTTTCCAATTTTTGCGATTTGATTTTTTTTTTTTTTGTATGTGTAATTATCATCCATTTTCAAGACAGTCCATTGATGGAAATAAACTAAAAATTTTTAAAATGTTCACTTGTACGATTTTAGAATTTTTCCATTTTGCAAAATATTTGATTTTTAATTTTTCGATTTTTCGGTGCTACATTTATTCTATTCTATAATTTTTCGATTTTACATATTTGGGTTTTCTAATTTTTCAATTTTTCGAATTTTCAACTTTTCGGATCAAAAAAAGGGAAGAATTGTAAAATTCAACAATCAAAAATGAACAAACGAAAATATATAAAATGAAAACTGAAAATTCTAAAAACTGAAAATCAAGAACTTGAAAAATTGAAGAAACGAAAAATTCAAAATTCGAAAGATTGAGAAACTTAAAAATCGAAAAGGTGCAAATTCGAAAAAACGAAATATCTATTGTAAAATCGAAATATTGGAAATTAAAGAAACTGGAAATAAAAAAATTGTAAAATTGAACAATTTAAAAAGTGAAAAAGCGAGGACTGAAAAATTTAGATAATGAAAATTAGAAAAATCGGGAAAATAAAAAACAAAAATCAAGAACTAGTAAAGTCTAATAATGAAAAATTGTAATATCGAAAAATTTCAAATCGAAAAATTTGAAAAATTTGGATGTTACGAAAATGAAAAATTGAAAAAATTTTACAGTTCTTGGATTTGCAATTTTATGTGTTTTGAATTTTGAATTTTTCAATTTCCCGATTTTTCCGTTAATTTTTCATGTGTTCAATTTTTGGATTTGCAATTTTTCGTTTCGGTTTTTGTTTTCGAGGACTAAAAAATCTGATTAAAACTAGAAAAAGCGAATAAACGAAAAATTGTGATATAAAATTTAGAAAATGAAAACTATAAAAATCGAACAATGAAAAATTGTAACATCGGAAAATTGCAAAATTGAAAAATTGAACAAATTTTGCAATTTTTGGATTTGCAGTTGCACGAATTTTCAATTTTCGGATTTTTTATTTAACTTTTCATGTCTTCAATTTTTCGATGGGGTTTTTGTTTTCTTTATTTTTAAATTTTTCGGTTTTTCATTGTTCTGATTTTATAATTGTTCTTTTTGTCAAGGGAAATTTTTCAGTTGTTGAATTTGTCAATTTTTCGATTGTTCAATTTTTGTGTTTTTTCAGTTTGAAATTTTTCAGTTTCTCAATTTTTTTCAAATGAGTAATATTATTATATCATTTTTTCGATCATTCAGTGTTACAGTTTTTGGATTCATTAACTTTTTTGGATTTTTTAGTTCTCGATTTTTAGTTTTTCAGTGTTTGAATTTTTCGTTTTTTTGTACTTTTTCGAGTTTGCAATTTTTCGTTTTATCAATTTTTCTAAAAAACGAAAATGTATAATGAAAACTTTAAAAATTCTGAAAATTGGAATCAGGAACTTGAAAAATTGAAGAAAAAAAAAATTCAAAAATTAAAACATTAAATCTGAAAACATTAAAACTGAGAAACTTAAAAATCGGAAAAGTACAAAAAATATTGAAAATTAAAGAAATCCGAAAATCGTATCATTGGAAATTCAGAAAGTTGTAAAATTCAAAAACTGGAAAAGGGAGGAACTGAAAAATCAAAGATTGAAAATTTGAAAAAATGAATAAACGAAAAAATATAAAATCGAAAGAAATATTGAAAAAAATAAAGGAAATGAAAAACAAAAAATTCTGATACATTTAAAATTCAGAAAATGAGAATTAAAAAACCGCGAAAATCAAAAGTAAAAATCAAAGAAAAATTGAGGAACTGGAAAATCGAAAAATGAAAAATTGCAAAATTGAAAAGTTGAAAAATTTTGGAAGTCGAGAAATTGAAGAAATGAAAGAAAAAAGCCAAAAAATTACTCTAGTAGGCCATGAAATTAATTTTTGAAATGATTTGACATTTAATTTGACAGTTATTTCGTTGTATTATAATTGTCAAACTGAACAGTGTTACCAACATCATTACTTTAGAAATACATTTCATGCCCGATTTTTTTCGAACGTATTTTTTTTCAGTTTATTTCAGCAATTGTTTCGGATATTCAAAGGGACAACACAAAAATAACTTCATATTATAACTTTAGGATGATTTTTCTGTAAGCTGGTACTTTTTTCGTTTACGTAGAGGCCGTTTCATATTTTTTGAAAACATAATTTTTTGTTTTTTCCTTTTCTTTCATTTTTCAATTTCTCCATTTTTTGATTTCATAATTTTTTGATTTTTCAAGTTCAATATTATGTTTCTACAGTTTTTCGTTTTTCATATCCTTTATTTTTTTCACTATTTCTTTCGATTTTGTAATTTTTCATTTATTCAGTTTTTCAAATTTTTCATCTTAGATTTTTGGATTCCCAGTTACAGGATTTTTTTATTTCTTTCAGTTTCAATTTTTCCATTTTAAATCGACTTTTAAATTTCTCAATTTTAATGTTCCAATTTTTAGAATGTTCAAAGTTTTCATTTTATACATTTTCGTTTTGTCATTTTTGATTTTTTAATTTTACAATTTTGCAATTTTTCGATTTTTTTAATTCAAAAAGTTGAAAAATCGAAAAATTGCAAAAACGAAAAATTGGAAAGTCGAAAAACTGCAAACTGAAGAAACGAAACATTGAAAAACTAAAAATCGAGAGACTTACAAATTGAAAAAAGTTAATGAATGAAAAAACCGGAAAAAGAAAGAACGAATCGAATTAAAAAATTGTAAAATTCAAATACTATAAAATCGAAAAATTATAGAATCGAAAAAATGTAACACTAAAAGATCGAAAATTTGAAAAATCGAATAAATGAAAAAGTTTTAAAATACAAAATCTGAATTTTTTTATTCGAAAAAATTAAAAAAAGAAAAACTGGAAAATCCAAAATGTGCAAATCGAAAAACTGAAGAAACGAAAAGTGGAAGCATTGAAAAAGTAAAAAATCGAAAAAAATTAATAAATCAAAAAATTGAAAAGAAGGGAAAACGAATCGAATCGAAAAATTGGAAAACCAAAATATTGTATAATCGAAAAATTATAGAATCGAAAAACTGTAATACTGAAATATCGAAAAATAGAAAAATTAAAACTGGAAAAATTGAAAAATCATATTGAAAAGTAGGAAAATTATAAAATCAGAACTGAAAAAATAAAAATTACTCTAGTAGGCCATGAAATTAATTATTGAAATAATGATTTGACATTTAATTTGACAGTTGTTGCGTTGTATTATAATTGTCAAACTGAACAGTGTTACCAACATCATTATTTTAGAAATAAATTTCATGCCCGATTTTTTTCGAACGTATTGTACCAGCATTTTCCGGGAGTTGACGGTGGTGTTTTTGCCTAGTGGGTCACTGCCACCCCGCCGTGGTGGAGGCCGGCTGTGCCCAGATGTCCGTCCTCAACACCAACAACCGCTTCCTGCACGACAACATCGTCCTGTGCGCGCAGCGCATCATCAGCACCATGCCCGACAAGCTCTCCGTCTGCTACTTCGTCAACTCCGGCTCGGAGGCCAACGACCTCGCCCTGCGCCTCGCCCAGATCCACACCGGCAACCGCCAGATCGTCGCTCTGGAGCAGTGAGTTCCTTTCTAACCCCCCGTCCACATCATTTGCAGACCAAAGGCCCGGGACTCGGACCCAAAAAATCATTTCTCATACCGTAATCACTGTCCATGACCTAGCTTTAAGTATGTGTTCGATGAGAAATAATACTTTGGGCTGATGAGAACTATTATTTCTTATCGTAGGGCACATGTTGTGTTGAATGAGTTGAACATCTCTAATTTTTTTGTTTCATTTTTTTCTTACAGCCACCTAACACATTACAGATGAAGATGCGGCGTCCAGAGCAAGTCCACCACGCGGGACGGCATTGCAGCACATGACTTTTAGAGGATTTGATTGTTAAATTCTCCAAGGCTGTTGGTGGCGTTCGGTCATTGGAGCGCACTAGCACTAGCAGGCTTGGAAATTGTAGATTTTGTGTATTGTAAATGTGGGGGCGCCGGGATTGGGTAAAGAGCAGCTACGAATGTGCTATTTTTTTAGTGCGTACCACGGCCATTTGACATCCTTGATTGACATTTCCCACTATAAGTTTAATCTTCCTGGTGGGCCACCGCAGAAGGATCACGTCCACGTGGTAAGTCGTACTAACCCCAACAGTCATTCTTTCTCTAACAAAGAACAAAATTGCAGGCTTCGTGCCCCGACACTTACAGAGGAAAATTCCGAGACTCGGAGCACCCGAAGGAGGCGCTCTCCAAGCTCTACTCCGACGAGATCGCGGCCATCTGCGCCAAAGTCCGCGACGAGAAAGGCGAAGGAATCTGTGCCTTCATCGCCGAGAGTCTTCTGAGCTGCGGAGGACAGGTCATCCCTCCCGAGAACTACCTGAAGGACGTCTACGACCACATTCGCCAAGCCGGAGGAATTTGCATCGCCGACGAGGTCCAAGTGGGTTTCGGACGACTGGGAAAACAATGGTGGGGCTTCCAGCTGCACGACGTGGTGCCCGACATCGTCACCATGGGTAAACCCATGGGCAACGGGCACCCGGTGGCTGCCGTGGTCACCACGCAAGAGATAGCAGACAGCTTTGCCAACACCGGGGTGGAGTACTTCAACACGGTGAGAACCCCAACCCGTACTAGTCAACTTATACACAAACCGGGCGTTTACAGTACGGCGGCAATCCCGTGTCTTGCGCCATCGCCAACGCCGTCTTCGACACCATCGAGAGGGAGAACCTCCGCGAGCACGCCCTCGTCGTGGGGGAGTACCTCTTCGACGCCTGCCAGATGCTGGCCAAGAAGCACATGTGCATCGGCGACGTCCGCGGCATGGGTCTTTTCCTGGGGATCGAGCTGGTGAAGGACCGCGAATTGAGAATCCCGGACAAGGAAACGGCCACCTATGTCGTGTCGAGGTACCACCACCCCAAATTTGTGTCTCCTTGTACTCACGTTTCTTTTAGAATGAGAGCGGAGCACATCCTGGTGAGTAGCGACGGGCCCGACCACAACGTCATCAAAATCAAGCCCCCGATGGTCTTCAATAAGGAGAACGTGGACGAGTTCGTGTCCACGTTGGACCGAGTTTTGAAGGAGCGCAGGGAGAGTAGTCAAGGCCAGGCGGCGGTGAAGGGCACCGAGACACCCAGCAAGGAGGGGAGAACGCGTAAACCCATCAAGGAAGAGAGGATTAAATCTATTTAAGATGTTTTATTGTTTTCTATTTAGATTAGGTAGTTTGTGTGTTGATGTTATTTAACTTTTGCATGGCTAGGGAGTAGGTTTTTACAAGTATTGAACTGAAAAGTGCTTTTTTTGGAGCGAGGCATTGGTTATTTATATGTAAGAGGATGCCTTTTGATGTTTTCTGTGAAAATAAATCATATTTTTTTACATGAGTGTCGTTTATATATATCTTTATAAATACACAAAAAACTCTCTATACACTAGTGCTTTTTTCCGTTCGAGCGTAGACCGTTTTAACATATGTATTTTTGAGAAAATTTTTGGAAATTATTCTCGCCATTTCCCAAGTTTTCCAGATTATTATGATTAATCAAGGGAAAACTCGCTATAAATCGGATTTTTTCCTTCCGCATAGTTGCCGTTTAAACAATTTTTGAAAGTTTTTTAATTAATATTGGGAGAACACTTTGACAATTTTCGCGATTTAACATGTTTGTAGAAAAATTTTTGGGAAATTATTTTCCCAATTTTCTTTGTTATTTGTAAAGACCGAATTTAAATTGCTTCATATGCGTAGTTTAAAAGAAATTTTCTATCATCGACTCCGTATTTTTTCTTTTAAGCATTATTTTTCTTTCATTTTTCCATTTGTCGGTTTCATAATTTTTTGATTTTTCAAGTTTAATATTTTCAAATTTTCAATTTCTCTACTTATAAATTTCAATTTTATGTTTCTGCAGTTTTTCATTTCCTTTATTTTTTTCACTATTTCTTTCGATTTTGTAATTTTTCATTTATTCAGTTTAAAATTTTTCATCTTAGACTTTTGGATTCCCAGTTATGCGATTTTTTGATTTTGCACATTTTCGACTTTTAAATTTCTCAATTTTAATCTTCCAATTTTTAGAATTTTCAAAGTTTTCATTTTATACAATTTCGTTTTCTCATTTTTGACTTTTTAATTTTACAATTTTTCCATTTTTGTAACTGAAGAAACGAAACATTGAAACATTTGAAAAACAAAAAATCGAGAGCCCTACAAATTGAAAAAAAGTTAATGAATCAAAAAACTGGAAAATGAAAGAACGAATCGAATTAAAAAATTGTAAAATCCAAATATACTATAAAATCGAAAAATTATAAAATTTGACTGTTGGAAAAGTTGTCTAAAATGCACAAAACATTCAGGGATCTACAGATCTCGACGTACTCATTCCAAAAATATAACGACGTTACGTTCATCACGCAAAGTTTTCAAAATGTTCAGTTTTAAATTCAAATTAAAAAACAATCCAAAACTTTTGATATTTCAATGGCCGATTATGGAAAAAGTATTGCAGTTATCAAAGATACGAGGCCGAAAATGAGTTCTAAAGCTCCAAATCGTAAGTTTCGAAAATAGTCAAAAATGGGTCGAAATTTGAAAACAAATACTGGAAAAATTTCACTTTTAAAAAAGTTGTTTAAAACTCTCAAAAAATTCAGGATCTAGATCTCCACCTGTTGATTTAAAAAATATAGCGTGTTTATGTTCATCGTACAACATTTTTTAAATTTTCCGTTTTGAAGTCATTTTTTTTTAATTCCAAAATTTCGATATTTCAAGGGTTGATTGTGGAAAAACTTGCAGTTATCAAACGAAGCGGAAAGTGAGTTCTAGGGTCCGAAATCTACAAGAAAATGTATTTAGTTAAGTTTCAAAAATGGAAATTTGAAAAGTCGAAATTTGAAGGGAGAAAATTTGGGTTTTGAAAAAATTGTCTAAAACTCCACAGAAACTGCTATGATGTAAGATCTCGACGTGGTGATTCCAAAAATATAACGTGTTTGTGTTCATTGCCCAACATTGTCAAAATGTTCGGTTTTAAATTATTTTTTTTTTAAATTCAAAAAATTTCGATAGTTCGACGACCGATTCTGGAAAAACTGGTGCATTTATCAAAGAAATGAGGCCGGAAGTCCGTTATTGGGCTCGAAATCTACAAGTAAACGTGTTTAGTTAAGTTTCGAAAATAGTCAAAAATGAATCGAAATTTGAAGTATTGGAGAAATTTCACTTTAAAAAATTTGTTCAAAAAATTCAGGAATCTTTACGTACTGATTCCAAAAATATAACATGACTATGTTCATCGCGGAACATTTTCAAAATGTTCAGTTTTAAAGTCAAATTTTTTAAAAATTCCAAAAATTTCGAAAACTGTTGCAATTATCAAAGAAACGAAGTCGGAAGTGAGTTCTAAGGCTCAATGTCTACAAGAAAATGTATTTAGTTAAATTTCGAAAATGGTTAAAAATTGGAAAAATTTGACGTTTGAAAAAGTTGTCTAAAAATCCAGGAAAACTTCAGGGATATATAGAATTCACCGTGATGATTCCAAAAATATAACATCTTTATTTTCATCATGTAAAATCTCGGTTCTAAATTCAAATTCTTTTTAAATTCCAAAAATTGCGATATTTCAATGGCCGATTCTGGAAAAACGGATGAAGTCATCAAAAAAACGAGGCCGGAAGTGAGTTCTTGGGCTCGAAATCAACAAGAAAATGTATTTAATTAAATTTCAAAGCTGGCCAAAAATTGCTCGAAATTTGAAAAAAAAACACTAAAAAAAATCACATTTGAATAAGTTGTCTAAAAATCCACCAAAAAGTTCTAAAATACATATACATATAGATCTCGATGTGCTGATTCCAAAATTATAGCGTGTTTTTGAGTATCGCTACACATTTTCAAAATGTTCGGTTTTAAAGTCAAATTTAAAAAAATTCGATATGTTAACGGTCGATTCTGGAAAAACTCTTAAGAGTTTTCAAAGAAACGAGGCAAGAATTGAGTTCTAGGGCTCGAAATCTAGAAGAAAATGTCTAGAGTTAAGTTTCGGAAATGGTCAAAAATGGATCGAAATTTAAAGAAGCGAAAAGTTTCGGTTTTGAAAAAGTTGTCTAAAAATCCACCAAAAATTCTGGGATCTATAGATGTTGACGTAGTGATTCCAGAAATATAGCGTGTTTATGTTTATCGCGCAACATTTTCAAAATGTTGGGATTTGAATTCATTTTTTTTTAGATTCCAAAAATTTTGTTATTTCAACTGCGGATTCTGGAAAAACGGTTGGAATTAACAAAGAAATGAGGCCGGAAGTGAGTTCTACAGCCGAAATCTACAAGAAAATATATCTAGTTAAGTTTTGAAAATGGTCAAAAATGGGTCGTAATTTGAGTATTTAAAACATTTGACTTTTGGAAAAGTTGTCTAAAAATCCACAAAAAGTTCAGAGAATCTACAGATCTCGACGTACTAGTTCCAAAATATAAGATAAGACTAATTTTGGCAAATAATATATCCTCTGAGAAAATAGGGAGCAAATCTAAAAAATATGAATTAAAAAGTCAAAAAATCGCAAAATCGGGAAATTGAACAGTCGAAAAATTGAAAAATTTAAAGATCGAGAGAAAAATTGGAACGTTGGAATATTACTAAAAATCGAAGAATTGACAAATTGAAAAGCCGAAATATAAAAGAATTGAAAAATCCAGATATTGAGCAATTCCCAAAACTGAATGTTGAAAAATTGAGAAATCAAAAAGTCTCAAAATTGAAGAATCGAAAAAGTGAAACACTGAAATATCAAAAAATTGAAAAATCAAACAATTGAACATTGAAAAATTGGAAGATCTATCAATAGAAAAGCTGAAAAGCTGAAAAATTGAAAATCCTAGAAATCGGAAAAACAAAACATCGAAAAATTAAAAATTGAAAAATTTCAAATTTATGAAAATCGATGAAATGAAACATCAAAAAATTGGTCGAAAGTTGTTTCAACAGAACTTCCCTCGCTCCTGATGTAGAATGAAACATAAAAAATAAACACTCTATCAGATTTAGGAATTTAATTGGTTAGCATAGAAATTTGCAATTTAACACCTTTCGAATTTAACAAGTTTTTACAAGATTAATAGAGGCAAAATCAGTCTTATCTTAGCAAGTACTAGCCCCGCCCATCCCCCCGCTATTTTCTCAGAAGATATGTCATTCGCCAAAATAAGTCTTATCCAAGCAAGTACTAGCCCCGCCCATCCACCCCCTGTTTTCTCAGAGGATATGTTATTGCCAAAATAAATCTTATCTTAGCAAGTATTAGTCCCGCCCACCCGCCCCCTGTTTTCTCAGAGGATATGTTATTTGCCAAAATAAGTCTTATCTTAGCAAGTACTAGCCCCGCCCACCGGCCCCCTATTTTTTCAAAGGATATGTGATATACCAAAATGCTAGTATTTGCTAAGATAAGACTGATTTTGGCAGATGACATAGCTTCTAAGAAAAGAGAGGGTGGGTGGGCGGGGCTACTCCTTGCTAAAATAAGACTAATTTTGGCAAATAACATATCCTCTGAGAAAATAGGGGGCAAGTCTAAAAAATATTAATTGAAAAGTCAAAAATCGCAAAATCGGGAAATTGAACAGTCGAAAAATCGAAAAATTTAAATATCGAGAGAAAAATTGGAATGTTGGAATATTACTAAAAATCGAAGAATTGAAAAATCCAGATATTGAAAAATCCTCAAAACTAAATGTTGAAAAATTGATATTTCAACGGTTAATTTTGGAAAAACTGTTGGAGTTATCAAAGAATCGAGGTCGGAAGTAAGTTCTAGAGCACTAAATCTACAGGAAAATATATTTAGTTACGAAAAATTGCTCGAAATTTCAAAAAATTTCGAAAACATTTCACTTAAAAAAAATTCACGTCAGAATAACTTGTTTAAAAATCCACAAAAATTTCTGAAATATATAGATCTCGATGTGCTGATTCCCCAATAAAATTGTGTGTTTTTGTTCATCGGGCAATATTTTCGAAATCTTCCATTTTGAAGTCAAATTCTTTTTAAATGCTAAGATTTCGATATTTCAACGGTTAATTCTGGAAAAACTATTGGGGTTATCAAAGAATCGAGGTCGGAAGTAAGTTCTAGAACTCGAAAAAAAGTTAATGGATCAAAAAACTGGAAAATGAAAGAACGAATCGAATTAAAAAATCGTAAAATCCAAATATACTATAAAATCGAAAAATTATAGAATTGAAACATGTAACACTGAAAGATCGAAAATTTGAAAAATCGAATAAATGAAAAAGTTTTAAAATATAAAATCTGAATTTTTTATTCGAAAAAATTTAAAAACGAAAAGTGGAAAATCCAAAATGAGCAAA